AAAGAGTTCAGTAATCAAAGGAATAGGATAAGCATTCCTGATAGTAATTTTGTTCAATCCCCGATAGTCTATACAAGGACGTAAGGTACCGTCTTTTTTTTCTACAAAAAAGAAACCCGCCCCCGCCGGAGAAGAAGATTTTCTAATAAATCCTTTGTCTAAATTCTCCTTGATGTATTCCTCTAAAACTAAGTTTTCCTTGGTGGATAGAGGGTATACTGTACCCCTGGGAGGCATAGTACCAGGGAAAAGTTTAATAGAACAGTCATAAGACCGGTGGGGAGGTAAAGTATCCGCCTTACCCTTGTCAAATACAGATTTGAGGTCTAGATATTGTAACGGTATCTGAACATCTGTGGATTGGGAAGTGTTAGCATAAGAGTTTACGGGGCAAACAGGAGTAACTCTCTGCAGACATTCTTTCCTACAACCCATACCCCAAGAAACGATTTCTCCACCCTCCCAGTCAATCTGAGGGTTGTGTCTCTTGAGCCAAGAATATCCTAGCACCACAGGGACTGCCAGGGAGGAAATTAACAGAAGGGAAATCAACTCCTCGTGGAAAATACCAACAGTAAGCTTAACGGGTTTGGTCTCATGGAATATTACTGGTTCAGATAAAGGTCTACCATCTATGGCCTCAACGGCCAAGGGTGTATCTCTCAATTGGAATGGGATACAATGCTTATTAGCGAAAGTTTGGTCTATAAAGCTTTCTGCTGCTCCAGAATCTAATAATGCCATCGTAGAAATAAACCCCTTTTCCCAAGCTAGAGAGACAGGAATCAGAAGCCTATGGTCTTTTTTATTCTGCATAGAGGACAGTAATGAAACACCCAAGGCCCGTCCTCTAAGGGAACTTAGGTGCGAGCGTTTCCCGGACGATTAGGGCAACTAAGACGTAGGTGACCTCTCCGCCCGCAGTATAAACAAAGACCCTCCCTTCTTCTGTACTCTCTCTCAGCCACAGATAAGCGAGTATTACCTATTTGCATAGGTTCTGGTGGAGAAGGATTAAAGGAGTCAGGGTTCTGAAATGAGGGAGCGAGTCTTACAGGAAGTCTAGTAACTCTTTCCCGAGTGTTCTGCCTCTGTCTCATGCGTTCATCTATTCTGGAAACGAAGGATACTAAATCCTCTAAATTTTCCGGAAGTTCTCTTGTGGCAGTCTCATCTAGAATTTCATCAGACAACCCATTTAAGAATACATCCATAAAGGCTTGTTCGTTCCATTTCACTTCTGCTGCCAATGATCTAAACTCTAGAGCATATTCTACAAGGGTCCTATTCTGTTGTTTAAGGCGTAACAGGGATCTGGCCGCATTAATCTTCCTTCCTGGGGGGTCAAAGGTTCTTCTAAAAGCCGTGACAAAAGCAGTGTAGTTGTAGACTAAAGGATTGTCATTCTCCCAAAGGGGATTGGCCCATCTAAGTGCTTTATCTATTAGCAGAGTTATAATAAAGCCTACTTTAGCCCTGTCAGTAGGGTAAGCCCGGGGTTGAAGTTCGAAATGTATGCTTATCTGGTTTAAAAAACCACGACAAGCATCAGGCGAACCCCCATATCGTAACGGTGAAGTGACATGGGAAGATGCGCCTACAGTGGCTACTTCCAAACCAGTACTTAGCGAGTGGCTAGCAGTGGAACGTATTTCTTCAGACTGAGTGCTGGAGCGTGTTAACAAAGTTTGTAATGCTAAAGCCATTTGGTCCATTCTATGGTCCATGGCCTCAAATCTGGGGTCAGGAGGACTAGCACCTGCAGGATCCATTTGGCCCTGTCGTAATGTCAGGATACTGACAGGGATCCAATACGCAGAGTGCGGACAGAAGGAGGTACGTATACCGGACCTTAGAATGGCCGGACTAACATAGAGATAAAGCAAGAATAGTCAAAAGGTAAGCCGAGGTCGAGGGAGCCGGAGGACAGGTAAGCGAGATACAAGCCGAGTCAAAGGAGAGGAGAGGTCAACAGGACAAAAGACAAGCAAGGGTCAAAACCGGAAACACAAGATAAAGAACGCGCTGAGTGACTAGCAAGCTAGAACCACGACAGGGCAATGAGCAGTAGTAAAGGTTTCCTTTAAATACCCTGTACCTAAATAGAGACCACGCCCCCAAAAGGTCCGGAATAGCGGTTCCCGGCACTTCATGTAAATGCCGACGTCATGACGTCGACGCTAGCCGTCGCGTCATAAAAGGGGGAGGAGCTAGCGCGGCCGGCGCGAAAACGGCCGGAATATGCCGAAATGCTAGGGGCAGGGAGCCCCTAAACAGAGAGGATGTCTTCCCTGGATTCAGCACCAACAGGTACCCTGACAAAATCTCTGAATAACACCCCACATGTACATATTTTTTTTAAAGTAGACAACCCAGGGTATTCAATATGGGGTATGTCCAGTCTTTTTTAGTAGCCACTCTGTCGAAAACACTGGCCAAAGTTAGCATTCATATTTGTTTGTGTGTGAAAAAAGTAAAAAACTAAATTGAACGCTAATTTCGGCCAGTGTTTGTGACTAAGTGGTTACTAAAAAAGACTGGACATACCCCATTTGCAATACCTTGGGTTGTCTTCTTTTGCAAATAGTATGCCATCATGGGGGTAATTCTCATTCCTAGGCTACCATATGCTCTCAAAGGCAACGTAACCAACCTGGCCATTTTCAATTTAAAAATATTTGACCCATATATTTGACCCTGTAACTTTCAAAAATGCTATAAAACCTGTACATGGGGGGGTACTGTTATACTCAGGAGACTTTGCTGAACACAAATATTAGTGTTTCAAAACTGGAAAACGTATCACAACAATTATATCATCAGTAAAAGTGCTGTTTGTGTGTGAGAAATGCAAAAAAAAGTCACTTTCACTGACAATATCATCGCTGTTATATGTTTTACTGTTTTGAATCACTAATATTTGTGTTCAGCAAAGTCTCCTGAGTAAAACAGTACCCCCCATGTACAGGTTTTAGGGTGTCGTAGAACGTTACAGGGTAAAATACAGTGCTAGCAAATTAAATTATCTGGACTTTCGGCCTAGGTTGGCAGGCAGGTCCCTCAAATTGCAATCAATAAAATTACTTAATTATGTAAAAATATTACATAAATACGCACGTAGAATTTAAATATATATGCATATTTATATATTTGAAGTCTACGTGTATTTATATAATTATTTATGTAATTTTGTATATGGACATATGTATATTTCGTATTATTTTATTTATTTATATATACATAGATATATAGAGAATTTCATTCTAAGTGTATTTTGATATAAATATATATATATATTTATATCAAAATACAGTTAGAATAAAATTTAATATAGATATATAATTTTTTTTAAATTTGTATTATTATTTTTACATTTTTTAATTTAACCCCTTAAGACCGGAGGCGTACTATTACGCCCTATTTTAGGCGGCTCTAAACGCTGCTGCACGTAATAGTACACCCTCCGGTCTTTCTTTACTTACCCGGTCGCCGGCGATCCCCTTTGGGGGGGACTCCCAGGGAGCCCCCCGCGGCACGTCCGACCCCCTGGCAGCCCCCCCAGCCATGTGAGAGTGAGGTCCTTGCGAGGACCTCACAATCACATGGCCAGGATAGCTGGCTGCAGCATTGTCAGCAGGGGGGCTGCCTGTAATGACAGGTAGTCCCCCTGCTGGCTGGAAATAAAAATAAATAAAATTTAAAAAAAGTTAAAAAGTGTAAAAAAAAAATATATATATACTTAGATCATATATATGTATTATATATATGATCTAAGTATATATACACATATACATACACACACATACACTGTCTAGGTGTATTTTACTATTAATATATATATATTAATATCAAATTACACATAGACTGATATTGATTAAATATATATATAATTATTGTTACATATATATTTATATATAATATAAAAAATTAAATATGTAAATACGTTAAAAAATAAAATTACAAAAATAATAAAAAAAAATTAAAAAATATATAGATGTGTTATTTCGTTCTACCTGTATTGTGATATTAATATATATATATTTATATCAAAATACATGTAGAACGAAATAATATATATATCTATATACATAAATATATACGTATATATCACTATATATATACCTATATATAAATAAAAATATTTTAAAAAATTATATATATACATATATATTCACATACGTATATCTATATATACATATACTAATTCTACATATATATTTATGTAATATTTTTACATAATTAGGTATCTTAATTAATTACAATTAGCGGGACCTGCCTGACAACCCATGCCGAAAGTAAAGGGAATTTAATTTGCTAGCACTATATTTAACCCTGTAACTTTCCAAGACACCATAAAACCTGTACATGGGGGGTACTGTTGTGAACACAAATATTAGTGTTTAAAAACAGTAAAATGTATTACAACGATGATATTGCCAGTAAAAGTGTTGTTTTTCACGCACAAACAGCACTTACACGGACGATATTATTGCTGCGATACTTTTTTACTGTTTTGAAACACAAATATTTGTGTTCAGCGACGTCTCCCGAGTACAACAGTACCCCTCATGTACAGGTTTTATGGTGTTTTCAAAAGTTACAGCGTCAAATATAAGGCTTGTGTTTCATTTGCCTTTGAGACCCTATGGTAGCCCATGAATGAAAATTACCCCAATGATGGCATATCATTTGCAATAGTAGACAACCCAAGGTATTGCAAACGGGGTATGTCCAGTCTTTTTTAGTAGCCACTTAGTCACAAACACTGGCCAAAATTGGCGTTTTTTGCATTTTTCACACACAAACAAATACTAACGCTAACTTTGGCCAGTATTTGTGACCAAATGGCTACTAAAAAAGACTGGACATACCCCATTTGCAATACCTTGGGTTGTCTACCTTTCTGTCGCTGCTTGCTTTCTGTCAGTAACTTTTGTAATTTTTACGTAACAGCAAGTTGATGTCTTGTACAAATGAGGAAGATAACATTTCTCTTATTTGTCCTTCTGCAAATACAGATTTTTTTTAAAGTTTCATTTCTTAGTTGCATTGTGGTCAAGAAGAGAGCTGATTAGATATACAGGTTTCGTTTTACAGCATCTTCACGGAAGGGTGGTGATCTGGTAGGTGTTGCTTCCTGTATAAAAATATTTACACTAGTCCCGCTGCATCAAACAGCCGTATATTGAAGACAGATACGTTGCTGCACAGAGTGCTTATATATACAAGATCATGGCTGCTGCAAACTTTGGAGAGTCCTTGAAATCAAATCAGAATAGATGTCGCTACTGTACAGCTTTTGCTAAAAGACTGTGTTTGGATTGTGAAGCCTATCTTTGCCGTGATCACCTAGAGCCACATAATTTGGCTGGACAACACACACTAACGGAACTGAGCACTAATCTGCAGACAAGAAAGTGTGCTACTCACCAAAAACTCCTAAAATATAACTGCTGTGTGGATAATGTTTATGTCTGCGAGTTCTGCGTTTTACTTGGCGTTCACAAAGGACATAACGTGGAATTAATAAGTGACAAGTCCAAGGCTCTGAAATCATCACTTGAGGAACTTGTGGAGAAGCTGATCAAGCAAACAGCGCAAATTGTACAAAGCATGGATAAAATCTCAGCCAGAAGGGATGAAACCCATGAAAGAGCTACTGTTCTGATAAACCAAGTAACTGCGATTTTTATGGACCTTAAAAAACAGCTGGAAAATGAGGAGAAGAAGATCAAAGGTGAGATCTCCAAACAAGTTGATGAGGTAGATCTCCAAATGTCTAAATTTTTCTTAAAAAAGAAAGGAGAGCAATTAAACCTAAGTGCCCAGGTGGCTGAGATTGAAAGTTTTCGAAATAGTACAGACCCAATAACCATTTTGGAGAAAGGACCTAATTCCATCAACAAGGCTAATAAAGTAATAATAAGGGAGATAGAAGGCAACGTGGAAGTTACAGGTCTGAATGAGCTTCTGGTATTAGTGAATTTAGAATCTAGCCTACTACGGCTGGTAAAAAGTATCCCACAACTTCAAAGAAAACATGGATTTCAAGTGCAGAATCAAATACTGATGATGCCAACCAATGCAACTAAAAACAATGGTGATCAACTTGGAAACCTGCTGAATACATCAGTGAATCTTAACAAAGTGATCTATAGTTCCACAGCCATTTCATCAGGGCAACATTACTTAGAAGTAGACACCGGTGACTTTCCAAGTTGGAGTATTGGAGTGTCTTACTCACGAGATGAAGATTGTGTTTTAGGGGATAAAACTGATTCATGGTGCTTGCGTTACTATAAAATGGGGAAGTATGCAGTGGTTCATAATGGTGTAAAAACATTAGTGAGCATAGTTTCTCCTATTAAAGCTCTAGGGATATATTTGGATTATGAAGCTGGAAACTTGTGTTTTTTAGAGCTGGTGACACCTATCAAACAACTTTATACTATTTTAGTCAGATTTGATTATCCTCTTTATTTTGCCTTTTGTATGAGTGAAAGAGGGATCTTAAGTCTGAGGTAAACAGCTGCAGTAAAATGGTTTTGGGGATGCAGTTTCAGCCCACTCATCGGTTTAGTAAATCCAACAACTCAGCATTCCCTGTAACCTCCCTGTAACAAAAGGTCTGGGAGTGGAGACATAAGGGCTCACAACTAACAGTTGATGCAAGTTCAACGCAGGAGTTCTATTTGTGCCAGAAACCTGTTCAAGTCCTTTTCCAAAAATACCAGTGAAGCCACTCTTCTGCTACTAGAGGGTAAGAAACAGGAGAGTGGCTAAAAATTAATCCTTGAGTATCAGTGGAGTATCCTGGTTTTGTGCTGCCCTAGGCATGACAAAACTCAGGCGCCCCCCTGCCCCCGCCCCACCTTCTAAATGCACACACACAGTCAGACACACACACCCAGTCAGACACAAACACACACACACACACAGTCAGACACAAACACACACAGTCAGACACAAACACACAGACACACACACAGTCAGACACACAAACACACACACACAGTCAGACACAAACACACACACAGTCAGACACAAACACACACACACAGACACAGTCAGACACACACACAGTCAGACACACACACACAGTCAGACACAAACACACACGCAGTCAGACACACACACACACACAGTCAGACACACACACAGACACAAACATTAACACTTTTTTTAAAATTATTATTATTTAATTCCCCCCCCACCCAGCCTCCTTACCTTTGGGAATGCTGGGGGGAGGGAGGGGTCCCTCTCTCCCTGGGGGTGCAGGGGGTGCAGTGGCTGGCTGGCGGGCGGGCAGCTGGCGAGGGAGCTCTTCCTCTGAGCAGTCTGCTCAGCTCCCTCGCGTGCCGCAGAGTGAGGCTGGGAGCCGGAATATGACGTCATCAACCCGGCTCCCAGCCTCACTCTGCGGCGCATGAGTGAGCTGAGCAGACCGCTCAGAGGAAGAGCTCCCTCGCTAGCCGCCAGCCAAGCGCCGCCCGCCAGCCTAGCATGTCAGTTAGCCATGAGGCTAACTAGGCATTTGCCCTGGGCATTTGGGGGCGGCGTTTTTTGCCTTGTTTGCCTCGCGGATAATAGGTCCCTGTTGAGTATATAAGTCAGTGTGTGCATCAGACAGTGTGTGTTTGCCTGCAGTGTATCTAATAGTGTGTATCATTGTTTGTGTCTAGCAATGTGTACGTGTGTGTCTAGCTATCTGTGTGTGTGTTTAGCAATGTGTACATGTGTGTATGTGTTTTGAGAGAAACTGGTAGTGTGTATCTGTGTGTGTGTCTGGTAATGTGATTTTGTTTGTGTGTACGTGTAAATAAATATGTATCTCTGTGTCGGTGATGTGCATCAGTGAGAGTGTGTCTGAGGTTATGCATATTTGTTTATCTGGAAGGAGGTTCTACATGTTGGTAACACTGTAGCACTGTGTACATGAGAATATGTTTGTCTTTGAGTGTGTGTGTGTGTGAATGCACACGTGCATACATGTGTCTAAAATGTTTTGTATGGTATAAAGATTTAATATAGCATTCCTGTCTGCATGAAAAAAAGGTAAATGCTAAATATAAAAATAAATCATCAGACCGAAAATTGTCATTGATATATTTAATAATCCACAAATCTGTACCGGTCTGGTTAGATCTGCTTTGTAGAAAGTCAAATAGTTCTGTACATGCTACAACGTTTTTTTATCCTGTAAATAATTTACAAGAAAATTGCTAAATGTACCCTATAATAGCCAAATTGGCAGCATTCTACAGCTTAGTTATTTCTCCAGATAGTCTATCATTCCAAAGCCAATTTATTACAATTCCTGAATAACTCTGATTGTAAGAAATACATTCTCCCCTGTATGATCTGCAGCAGTTTCAGCGCAAATTGAAGCATCTTGACGACTGCCAGTTGAATCTGAGCACAGCTGACCAGCAGTGAGTCGTATTCTGCATGTTATTCAAGTGGAACTGCTTTCTATATAGACTGAATACAGACAATGCCACAGCAATTTACATATTTTCTATATTTTAATGTTAATGCTGTTTTTGCAGTTTTTTATTATTCTGATGTTTTCTTATTTTCCTGTCCGGTCGCACCTCCCACGCCTCCACGCTCTGTCAGTCCCTGTATTGGCTTCCAGTTAGATATAGGGCCCAATTCAAAATTCTGGCGCTTGCTTACAAATCCCTACATAATGCTGCTCCAACATACCTATCCTCCCTCATACACAAGTATGTCCCGTCGAGACCCCTGCGCTCAGCCCAAGACGCCTATCCTCTGCCCGGATCCCCACCTCTGATGCTCGCCTTCAAGACTTCTCCAGGGCTGCACCTATTCTGTGGAACTCCCTTCCCTCCTCAATCAGACTTTCACCCAGCCTCCACTCCTTCAAAAAATCTTTGAAAACTTACTTCTTCATTAAAGCGTATCAATTGAACTGTCAGCAGGTTTCTCATCCCCCACCCCATGACTCCTTTCCTGCAACGGTCAAAAATGACCTACCAAGCACTCAATAAACCCTTCTGTAACAAACTATTTAATTCCCCTACTTTAACACTCCCTCTAGCATGTAAGCTCATCGAGCAGGGTCCTCAACCCCCTCTGTTCCTGTACGTCAGTGGTCTGATCTCAATTATGTGTCTGTTAGTCCACCCATTGTACAGCGCTACGGAATTTGTTGGCGCTATATAAATAATAAAATAATAATAATAATAATATATGTGTGTTCAGTACATCAATGATTATGTTCTTCTTTGTGATTACCTATATATAAATATATATTAAAAAAATGTAGATAATAAAGCATGATTCATATTACTTTTTCGCAAAAAGTTTATTATTTATTTATTTACAAATATGAGACGTGGAAGAATACATTAAGAGTTTTGTCTTTTTTAAGCAGGCCATTATGACGACTAACTCATATATGACACATATAATTGGAAACATGTAGTAGAATGCTAGGTACATTGTATATATTATTATTACGAACATGTAATAAAATATTACTAGTTTGGGGTGAAAGGATATCCCTAGTATGGTCTGGAAGAGTTTAGACATTATAGAATGAGATTGTGAGATATTGAGAGGAATTGGCAAAACATGAGGGAGGTAAGAGTGAGACATGGAAATAGGGCCTGGCTGGTAATTATATTTGGATGGGTGAATTAAGAAACTGGAGGTCCGTTTGAATATCATGGGGAGAAATTCCTGGAGGGGGGATTTGGGTGACCGTAGGGGAGGAGAGACAGGGTTATTGAATAAATGGTTGAAGGATTTGAAAGTCACACATTGAGTTTATAGAGACCCGGGAATGATGCATAGAAAAGAATTCATACATTTATAGTGGAGAAAGTCAGACACAGAGTGAGACTTTCTCCAGCAACATTCAGCATGTCTGGAACACTTTTGGAGGTATTGGGTCAGCTTGGTGTGCCAAGGTCATAGTTGGGGGTATGCTGCATTTGAGTGAAGGAGGTGTCATGATGTCTAGTTGATAGGAAAGGGTGGAATTGTAGAAGGAGATTGCAGAGCTTGGAAGTTGGAAGAGAATGACTCTAGGTCAAGACAATGGAGGTTTCTGCAAGTTTGATGTGCCGAGAGTGGAGTCATTTGGGTACTGGGTATGCTGATGTCAAAGGTCAGCAGATGGTGGTCAGATAGAGGAAAAGGAGCATTGGAAAGATTATAGGTGGTACATTGGTGAAGATTGGTGAAGATGAGATAAAGAGTGTTTCCCACTATATGGGTTGCTAAATCAAACCATTGCATTAGGCGAAATGAGGAGGTTACATAGAGCAGACAAGGTTGCAGTTGGGGTTGTGGATTGAGATATTGAAATCCCCACGTATAAGGGCTAGAGGAAAGGAAATGGAGTAGCCAGGAAAAAAAATTGTTCAATGCATAGCCTACGATGATAAATGATGGCAATTCTTAAAGGAATGGTTTTAAAAAGGCAGACAGCATGAACTTTAAAGGAAGGAAAAGACAAGGCAAGGGCAGGGACTATTGGTTGAAAGGTACATTGAGGGGAGAGAAGGATGCTTATACCTCCAGGAGTAATGGGAGTTTGAGCGCAGGACTAGTTTCTTTGTATTTGTATTCACTTTTGTATCACACAGCTAGGTTGCAATGCTGCTGCCCATCCCATGTGTTCCCTATTAACGGTTAATAAGCATGTAGGGATGTATATAAAAAAAAACACCCCTTTCCTGGCCATATCCATGGCAGCACAACGATGGGTAGCTCCTCCCTAACCCTAATTAGACAGGAACAAATTAAAATAAATGTATAAGTACCTCCTCCTATCCCCTCCTCCCTCAGTTTTTTTTTCCTGTCCTATCCCTATAGGACATGTGTTTTTCCTTGGAACTATTATTTTTCTTTTATGGCTTACCTGGGGATTTGTTCCCCTGGCCCCTTGGGAGTTCAGCCTCTCTCCCTTGGGAAGTCTCCAGTTACACGGTCCTGCGCAAAGGTGATCCCCTGGAGAGTACCTCTTTAGTGACCTGGTACTTGCTGTAAACCAAGGGGTAGCAAGCTATTATGAATGGTTCCCTAATGCTGCAGTGACCCTAGGGGTAGCAGTGGGCAGGTGAATATGGACCTGGACGTGTACCTTGCTGGTCTGGACTTCTTCCTGTTTTCCAGCTTCCCTCTGCCTTTTCCGCTGTCCTTCTGAGGGGTAAGTCCCTGTGCTTTCTTTCATTTTCACTTGATGCTCGTTTCTTCAAATGCACATGCATTCGGATGAATTTTAGCCATTCGCATGAATTCTGGTGAACTTTTGTTTGTTCACATGAATGGTTATTTCGCCTGTTCGTTCGTCTGTAAATTCGCCTGTGTGAAAGCTCTGTGTGTGACGTCAGATGCCTATTTAGCAGCCCCCTGTTTCACAGACTCGTGGGAATCATTCTGGTGAATGCTGCATTGCTTCCTCCTATCTCCTGATGGATTTTTGTTTCGTCTGCTTTTCCTTAAGGTAAATGTCTTTTTATTATTTAACCCCTTAAGGACCCATGACATGTGTGACATGTCATGATTCCCTTTTATTCCAGAAGTTTGGTCCTTAAGGGGTTAAAGTAGTATCCTTCAATTTGTTCTGAATTTCAATTTGAGATTCTTTCTTGCATTTGGTTCTGCAGATGGATATGGAAGTCTCAAATTCCTCTGATTCTAATTCTTTCCCACCGCACAATAGGTCACAACCTAAGTTTTTTCTGGTTTGTTTTATCTGGTATTTAAAAGAATGCAGATCACTGATACATTGTTCTATCCCTATTTCTGCAGTTCTAAGGGGACTAGAGCTGCAGTGTCGTCCAAAGGGAAGTCGCCCAGAGGGACACAATGTGTATCCTGTGATAACAGAGCCCTTGAGGGGAAATGTCTCTGTTTTTCTTGCCTATCTGTGCCTGCAGGCCCATCTCAAAGGTAGTCCTCCATCCAACCTGCGCCTGACATAATGCAGTATATTTCACAAGCAGTCGCTCTGGGCATTCAGGAAGCTGGGAAGTCCCGCAAGCGACCAAGGTGTTTGGACACTTCGCAGTGTTCTCCAGACGTCTCTGATGTGGAGTGTATGACTATGGAATCCCTGAGAGATCTGGGTCCTTCTGCTGAGGATGAGGTGCTTCCAGCTCCAGATTTCCTGGAATCTGCTGAAATTGACCATTTGATACCCAGGGTCCGCAAGACTCTCAGTCTGAAGGAATCTTCTAAGGATGAGCCTTCCACATCCAGTCGCCACTTCTCTGACCTCAGGAGGAAGAGGGCGAATTTCCAGTCCATGAGACTATAAAAGACCTCATCAAGGAGGAATGGTCCAGATCGGACAGAAAATCCTCTGCAAAAGGAAGATTTTCCAGACTGTATCCTTTTGAGGACGCTGACACTGAAGCGTGGGACTCTGCTCCCAACTTTGCCTGTTGATGATGCGGGTTCCTTCAAAGACCCTATGGACAGAAAGATGGACTTCAGTCTTTCCAAAGCATATGTGGCTTCAGGTACTCTCCTGCACCCAGCAGTGGCCCTTATGTCAGTATCCAGGGCACTTAAGGTTTGGATGGAGAATTTGGAGGAGGATATTAAGAACGGCAGGAGCCGTCCCTCCATACTGGACAGCCTGAAATTGGCTGTTGTCTTCTCGCCTGAGGCTGCGGTGGATCAGAAGTATGGCTCTTTCAGTTTCGGCCAGGAGAGCGCTATGGCTCAGATCATGGTCTGCTGATGCCTCCTCCAAAGGCAGCTTGTGCTCCCTTCCTTTTCATGGCGACATGCTATTCGGCAAGAATCTGGATGATTGTATTACAAGAGCAGCTGAAGGTAAAAAGGCCTTTCTGCCTCAAGACAACAGGCCCAAAGGTTCCTTTCGTGCAAAAAGGGATTATACCCATTTCGTGATAGCAGATCCTACACACCGGGTAAGGAATATGGGAGAAATCAATACTGGAGGAGCGGTCTATATGGTGCTAGAGGCGGCAAGTCCCGAGGTTCCGCACCCTCCAAGAACCCCAGGAATCTGTGATGGGCTCATCTCCCTGTCAGGTGGTGTTGGAGCTCGCTTACTCCAATTCCATGTGGCATGGGAGGAATCCGTAAGCGACAACTGGGTTCTGGATATCATCAGAAGGGGATATCTTCTAGAATTTTGCAAACACCCTCCTTCCAGTTCCTTCCAAATCACAACGTTGCCGGGAGACAAAGTAAAAGGGCTTGCTCTCCAGATCTTCCCTTCTTCTCTACAAAAAGAAGGAGTCATTGTACCAGTCCCGGAGTCAGAAAGGACTCACGGCTTCTATTCACACCTATTTCTGACCGAAAAGTCCTCGGGAGGGTGTAGACCCATCCTAAATTTACACAGACTGAATCGATACTTGCATATCTGCAGATTCAAGATGGAGTCCCTTCAATCTATAGTGAAGGCTGTCATTCCCAATCAGTGGATATTATCAATAGACTTGTTGGATGCCTATTTCCACATCCCTATAGTCCTAGCGCATCAGAAATACCTGAGGTTTGCAGTAGGGGAGGCTCATTTCCAATTCAGGGCCTTGCCTTTTGGTCTCAGCACAGCTCCAAGGACCTTCACGAAAGTGCTTGTTGTTCTCATCACAGAACTGAGAAAACAGGGCATATCCATCTTCCATTACCTGGACGACATCCTGATTGTGGCGGACAACAAGGATACTTTGTCCTCCCATGCAACTGTTTGCCTTCAGTTCCTACAACTTCATGGTTGGAGGATCAATGTCAAAAAGAGCCATCTCTGCCCGAATCAATCCATGACATACCTGGGTGCTCTGTTCGACATTTCCACCGGGACGGTTTAACTCTCCCCAGAGAGGATTCTGAGAATACAGAAACAGGTTGTGGAGGTGTTGGCATGCAAGGTGACTTCAGCAAAGAAGGCGATGAGTCTCCTGGGTTCTATGTCCTCCACGATAGGACTGAGAGGGGGGGCACAATGGAGAATGAGGAGTTTTCAGGCGAACTTCCTCCTCCAATTCTCCTCAAAGAGTCTACTCCAGCCCATCAAGATTCCGTTGTTAGTTCACAATTCCCTGGTTTGGTGGCTGAACAGTGTCTCCTTAGCCAAGGGCTTCCCTCTGGGAGACGTACCGTGGATAGTAATAACGACAGATGCCAGCCATTGGGGTTGGAGAACCCATTGTCAATGCGACTTCGC